AATTCCAGAAGGCGACATCACACCGGACTCCGATTTTTTGTATTTGAAAAAGGAGGGCCGTGGTGCGTTCACAATTGCGTTAAAAAACACGTTTTACGATTGCCGTTAATAAATGTTATAAAAATGTCGCCTATGAAGCTTCTAAATTTCATGATTTTTTACGTCAGGAATCAAAAGAAGCGAGGAGGCGAAGAGCGGGAGAGGAAAGCGCCAAAAATAAAACGAAGTGTCTAGCGTAACGTCCGACGTAACCCAAGTTACGTCCAAATCTCCGCCTTCCCTAGGTTCACGGAGGAGAAAGAGGAGGGCGGGGGGGGGGGGGGGGGGGGGGGGGGTAAGGTATACGCGTTTCAGTGCTCCGTCCGGACGGAACGCTAGCCACAGCAAAAAAAAAAAAGGCGCGCGCGCGATTGGATTTTTTTTTTTCGCAATGCGTTTTTTTTTTTTTTGCGTGTTTATGACTACACTTTGCATCGTTTTAGACATTAATAATAAAAACAAAATACGACCCTTGGGGTGTCAGTGCCCCTTTAAGCCGCAAGGTTATAGTGGTTAATTTGCGTGGTTATATACGAGAGATTGGCAATATTATACTGTTCAAGTCAGTCAGTCGAGAGAGAGAAAGAGCGCACTAGTTGGGAGTACTCGGCTCTGTTTAAAGGCATCATCATCCCCAAGTCCCTAGGTAGGGATTTCATGAGTCACTCATGAATGCCTGTTGCTAACCGTTGCTCTTGCCTTCCTGTACACACCCAGACGCACTGATGTGATTGCTGCGTCATTTGCGCCAAACTGCGTTAAACGTGCTTTCCCTGCTACACATCCTGTTACATTTCGGCAAAATGTTACGAGTTTGCGCCAACACTGCGGCAGAACGTTATTTAAATTTATTGATACTGAAAATATAAAACTCCGGCCGCTACATGGCCGGATGGTTGCCTTAGGTTTGTCCGAGTTTTCGGAACTTTCGATTATCGCTTTTAATAACGCACACCTCTTTTCGATCTCTGTATCAAATACTGACAGTACCCTGAAGTCGAGCGATATATTTTTCACGTTCGTGGTCTGTTTATACTTCGTCTCACTTGAGCATGGACTAACTGCAGAGGCTGTGCAAGCGCGAGCTGATAGCCTTGACTGCCTTGACTGTAGCACTTGCTGCACGAGTGCTCGTGCAGCCGACGAGGCTTCATAGAAAGCAACTAGCTCGCGCTTCTAGCATGCGCGGCTAACAATAATCCATGCTAAGGTGAGCCGGAGTATAGCTGGGTTTGGTTGCTTCGTTAAGTGCGCTTCCCATCGCGCACCCGTGCACTGCAGTGAATCGAGAACCGCGGAGTAGGCATTGCGATTTTGTGTATCTTGCTGAATCGAGAACCGCGTGCCAAGGGGAAATCATTCCTCGAGAGTAGGACGTTTTACACACAATACACCCATCTCCCCAAGTGTCCGTCGCATCCGTGACGCCGCCATAACTTTAGTTCAGAGGAGGCAGGCGGCAGTTCTCGAGACTGCTGGTGCCGTGTCATTACATAGCCTGCACGCGCAATGCTTCAGGCCGTTGTTCCACGTGCAAAAAGTTCCCTCGATGCAGTGTGGCAGCGGCGGCGTATATAAACTGCCTGGTAAAATCGGTATTGCGACGGGCATGCATATATAACTGAAAGTTTGGATGTAACAAACTCTACCTTGCAGCAAAATGTTCTGAATAAGGCTGCGGCTACTATATATGATGCGTGGGAAATGAATAGATGATTCTTATCACCTTTACATAGCTTCCATCTCAGTGATGGCACAGCGAACTGAGTAAATTAAAACAAAATTAGCAAGAACATGAGGATGGAAACTTTGAAGTACCCTACGTTCGACTGGATTGTTTATAAGGCTTGTTTATTGTTCACGTACTGATTTTTGTTAGAATGAAATTTCGACATATAAAATGTCATTGATTTTAATAATCAGATGTCGAAGGCTTCATTTTTCTCTGAATTAATCATGCAGCTTTGTTACAACCTTTAAAACTTCAGTGAGACACCACTTGAGGTGCTTAATATTATTTTTCTAACAGTGAGGCACCACTTGAGATGCTTAATAATATAATTTTTCTAACATTATTTTTGTGGAATATAATAGGTTTACTTTTGGCCCCGTGCCTAAAATAACCATTCACAGTAGCTCCATACTGTGTTTCAGCACTCCGCATATTGTTGTGTCTAGTGCATCCGCACGCAACTAAGCAGTTATGTGTTTGAGGCGTCTCAGGGAATCGGACCTGCTGTACAATTGATGCTAGCAAAAGGTTTCAGAGTAGTGGGAAGGCAAAGTAAACAACGTATTTTGATGAAAAGGCCATTATATGTATCTTAGCATATAATGCTTGCAGTGGAAGGAATGGAACGGAAGTGTATGCTTCTGCACTGAAAGGTATTTTGTCTGCTACAAAATTGACTTTCAGCTACTCCAAAAGGTGCTCCGAAATGAGTCGGACCAATCACATAACTGCAGACAGCAAAGCTGAGTCACAGTCCGTTGTACACGAGCCTGGCTGTTGTTGACTTGTAATAGTAAGATGACCCACGCTGTGAAGTAGAGCTCGTTTTCGGTCGCGTCGGCGTCCGTAGTCTTCCACGGCTCGAGGGAACGTCTTCAGTCGACGAGAACGTGACCCGCTGCTCTTGTGAGCCCAGCAACGAGGCCAGAAGTGTCTTCACGGTGCCGATCCAGTCTTGATAGCCTTTGACTCATCCGGAGCACGCTGTTTCTCACGGAGAGCTGGTGTCTGCGCTGGCAATCGTGTAGGCCGCAGTCCACGAGGGCTACTTTTTGGACGACGTTAGGTGACACTTGAGGAATGCGTCATAGCGCCGGCGCGGGTCGGCAGCAAGGACCGGCCGAACAACAGGGGCGTCGTCGTATTCGAAACTTTCAGCGATGGTGGTACCGCGGTGTGAGAATCGCGCTCCCTAGCCCCTGAATGGTCGACTTCAAAATGAAGGGCTTGCTGACACCTTCCGGAAACGGAAGTAAGACGTTTAAGGCTCTCATGTCGCTCGTATTTCAGAAAGTTAGAATTACTTACGCGTCAGAGACCAAACCTCGTTCAGCTATTTTACCACGATCGTCCAGATGACAGCCAGTTTAATAGGAACTAGAACGGCCCGTAGACTTTTCCAGCGCGTATCGCCTGGGCGAAATATGCCGAGTCACTGAGTCTGTGAACGCATGCGCAGCGTCTCATACACCGCACAACAGAGCTACAGTGGATGCTCAGAAGAGCCCAGCCAACAAGCCTCCGCATGGTCTCCTCTTCCTCTATGAAACGCCATCGGTGTCGATCGTGGTAACTCGGCTATTGGGCCCGATCCCGACCTTTGACGCGCTGATTGGACACGACCCCCAGCCGAACACTGACACAGCACTCGTGCCCAATTTCACGCCTGGATCGATCTGACTGGGATGACGCGTGCGCGGAGGCCTTCTGTTTAGCTGGTGTTGTCCCAGCCGAGAAAGATGGCAGCGCCTAGAAATATATTTGGAAAGGGCTATAGCCGTGTTAGTTGCGAATCGTGGGTACCTACAATACATAAGGTCTTATCAAATGTATAGATCATCCGACAAGAGGTCGCAGAAGGAATGGCGGAGCGTGGGAGTGATGGGCCACACCCTGCGTGTCTTAAACTGTCACTGACGGCTCCAGCATGACAATGTCTGGATGCTGCGACGAAGTTGAACACTGGGAACGGTAGTCGAGTGCCTCTCGCGCAATGCGGTATGGCAGTGGACCTGCAGCAGCTACCTGAACGCACAGGTACACCGAGGTGTTGGCCATATAAAAGCGGTATGAAATAAACATCAGCGGCGAAGCCTGGCATGCCTCGACGGGCGCTATCGTCCTCGCATACGAACCGTCGGAAGAGAATGGCCTAACGGTTGAAGTGGAAGATGTGCAAAGCGCCGGCTTCGTTTTAACGGCATGGCGTGGGCGCGTCTCTGAGTGAAAGAAGGACGGCCGCGAGTCGGGAGCCGAGTCGGTCCCTTCGCGAACCTGGTCGTAATCCGAAGCTTCCCTCTTGCGTGCGGGAGGAGTGCTTGGCAGGAGGAGATAAGGCGGAATGCACGCAGCACCGTCTTCCCGCTCCTGTTCTTCTCCGCCAGAGAGCAGCCGAGGAGGGACACCGGCATCGCTGCAGTCCCGGCGATTGCCTTTCTTCGCTGGCTCTCGGGTGTGCGCGGAGGCCTGCCCTCTTTATCTGGGCAGCGCCATAGCCTGCCGGTGGCAATGGTGGTGGTGGTCTCTGTTCCGCCGCTATTATCCGAGTGACTCCTGTCTCTCGCGTTTGCCCGCCGCTGGTCCCAATCTCGCAGAGTGCTTAGCTGCTGGCTGGAAGAGATCACTGGGATGCTCGTCGTCACAGGGGCTGTTCTCGGGTCTCGCGCGCTGCCCCGTCTCAATCTACTCTCCTGTAGCGAGCGCTGGAAACGTGCCCGGGCGCTCGTTTTTGCGCGCTTGGTGTTCCTAGCTGCGCGAATGCACTCGAGAGTTTGGGGAGCGGTTTTAAAGCGTCTGGCGGTGCGTGCTTGCCCGCGGGGGGCGCTTTCAGGTTGCACTGGGTAGCACTGGGTCTCAGGTGATTTTGGAAGCCTTCGCTTTCAAAAAGAGAAAAAAAAAAAATGGATAGGTATTTCCGAGGTTGTTGAGGCGCGCGCGTGTTTTTTGCACCTGCTCGGGAGTCCTCAAACGACACCCCGGGGAGGTGTCTGCTGGTGCAGTTTTTTGTAATTATTCTTCGGGAGATATTTGAGGTGCGCCACTCTGAGGAACGAGAAAGCAAAGTCAACATATTCTGCAGAAAGATTCCCTTTTGCAATTTGAAATGTTTCCGTCCTCTCTTAATTACTTGGATTGCTGTATTTTATTTCATCTTCGTTGCGCTTCTCTTGTTGTGTTTTAACAAAGCGGAGTTTGATGTGACTTTTGTTTTCTTTTTTGTTTCTTGCAGACTGATGACGCTACTTCTATTACCGAGGATTAATTACGGTGAGTTTCCTTTTGACATTTTGAATACTTCTGTAGACCGTTGGCTTGTTTCGTTTACTTGAAGTACGTTACGGTACCCTGCACAACGGGAATGGGAGATTCGAGGATTAATTATTTGTGGAAATAGATATTTGTTGTAGAGGAGCGCAACTGCGCAATATGCAGATCGAGATTCAGTGACACGAGGATAAGGTAAATTAGGTTCAGCCCGTATATATATATATATATATAAAGGTTTTGGAGGGAAGTAGTTAATTGATGATTGTTGAAACTTTTATGCGACGCGAGAAGAGGAAGAAGTCGCTGCGAACAAAACCAGCGGCACGAGCGAAGCGGAAAGTCGAAGGTTTTACGCTGTTAGCGGGAACGGTGCATCCAGCAAGGACCTCTTCGCCGTTTCGTATCTTTTGCCTGTCAATAATGTACATAAAAGTTTGCTGTAGATTTGAACGACGGCCAGAATTTATTTCAGTGGCTTAGTTTCAACGCTTCGTTATGGACTGGTAACGGCAGGCGCGGCCGAAACGTAAACACGAGTGTATTTACTGTCGAGAGGCAGCAGGTAGAGCGGTTGGTTCGGATTTCGGGCAGACGGTTCGGCACGGTGAGTTTGGAAGCGGGGTAATTTGAGACATACCGTCACAACACATGTCACAAACATATCGTTAAAAAAAAAAAGTTGATTGTTTTATTTGTTTTGTTTGAAAGCCTACTACGGGAAGGTGGTTCAAAATGATTTCAGAACCTTAGCTGTTGGGGGGAATGAGAAAGGAAACCTAGCTCTAATTCTATTAAAGGGGAAGACGACTTATCTGTGAGTCCCGTTGATTTATTTGGACCCGAGGAGTTGACTTGAAACCAACGTTACCTAACCAAGATTGCTGGAAACCAACGTCACCTGTCACCGGAAATTTAGATCGGCTCACCAAGAATGGAGAGGTGAAGGAGAAACTGCTCATTCCATGAACCAAAATGGCGACCATACGGGGAGCTTTTCGCGACGTTCCCAGGATCCATTGACTTAAAGCACGCCCTGTGAACGGTGCGATTAACTATGGCGTCCAGTGTATTGATATGTACTAGGTCCTTTAAATAAATGCACGTAAGTTTTGAAAAGGAGCTTAGCACCGAAGGTCAATCGCAACGTGTCCGCCAGTGGGCGCACTGTTTTCGTGAGTTTCCGAGCATCGTTGACACCAGACACAAAACGACGTCCTAGCCTACCGCGTCTCGCAACTTTCCCGAAAGAAATATAAAATCGAGGAATAATAGCGGTGAAAAACAGCCTTAGCGTATTTGGATGGCAATCTTGGAAAGAGCGGCGGTCGTCGGATGGCGCGCATAGACCGCGGTGGACGCCCGAGCAGCGAGAGCAAGGAGGTGGACGACACTATAAGCGGCTGATGTGGTTTCCATTAGGCGTCGCTGTTCCTTGGGGCGGCAGCGACGCCGAGGGGGCTCGCTCCGAGATCCTTTTTACGACGTCGCTCGTTTCGTCAGCTTCCCTCGTGTGCCCCTGCGTCTCCGCTCTTCTGTTTCACCCTCTCTCCGCGCGGCTCGTTTCGAGTTTTATGGACACTCGCCCTCTGGTTCATTTGTTCGCCCAAGATGCTGCACCCCTGCTCGCGCTCTCTCCCGCCAGGATCGATATGCCTGCCCCATCAAAAATAGTTTCAGTGGCCCCTGGTGTTGTTATTTTTGCCCGTTCGTCCCACATATCCGCGCTTGTTTCCTCCGCATATTTCGATCATTTCAGTCTTTTTCGTCCCCCGTCCCAGCTCTTTCGCTCATTACTCGAGAAAAAAAAAAAGGAATATAGTACGCGTTAAGTCGTAGAAGAGGATGCGTATTTCGGTGGCCTGCTGGGCTCCTTCCTTCCTCCTCCCCGCGCTTTTCTTTTCTGGTTGCTCTTTCCTGCTTGTCGTTAGGTTCTAATGGACTCGTTTGGGCCCATTGCCGCATGGGCGTGTTACTGGGCGAATGCTACTTGCGTATTCATTCTCATTAGTTTGCTGCGCTTTTATTTTTTTCCTTTTAATTCTGTCTTTCGAGCTTTAACGACACTTGCGCTTTGCACGTTTTGCGTTACGCCCGAATCATTGCGTTGATTGGTGAGGATCTTTCGTGTGCGTTCCTTTCTGTGCCTCCGCGTTTTATTGGTGTTCTCTCGAAACATAAATGCCCCTGGTGGCTCCCAGGGTCCTATATAGCACGGGACGTCACTTAATGGGACCGAGGTGCACCAGGTGCTATTTTGTGTCGGGTCTGCTTATCGGCGGCACCCTTTGTTCGAGGGTGTGTTCGTCGCAAACATTCGGCTACCCGCAGCCGCCCCCTGCCGGTCTCTCGACTTGCGTGAACACTTAGAAAAAACTCAGTTTCTCGAAAAGCAAGAGGAGAGAGAGAGAGAGATTTAATATTCCGAACAACAGAATGTTTTGTCAAAAGTCTATTCTACTTTACATTTTGGATGTTTTCTAATAATTTCTGCAAAGCTAAGAACAAATAGCCGCGTTATACCTTTTAGTTGTCATTGTAACTGCTAGCAATTTTAATTTTGTAACTGTCACACTGTGGCATTTAAAGTCCATGGCTTCTCGCCATGGTGTCTAGTCCTTATTACCATCGGGTTGACCCGAAGCAGCGGTTAGTTAATTCATCCAATCTATCTAATTGAGCGATCTTTATAGGTTACTTTGTTCGAGCGTTTCAGGGTACCATGTCCTCCGCTTTATACTATATCGCTTCTGTTTTATCTTTGCCAGCCATTTCATCGCTGTGAAGTGTCTATCCTTTCTCGAACATGCTAGTACAAAGTCTCTATAATTCACAGGACAAGCAATATGTAATGGGGCAGGAAGTTCGTTCAGCACGAGTTGCATCCATGTACACAGCGCGACGCTGCCAGTGCAAACAAGCAATTACCGTTTTTTTTTCTTTCCTCTCAGAAATACAAGATAAAAACTGTCCTCAAAACTACTCGTATAGTTGCAAGTTTCCACTTAGAACACTAACGTAACCGGTAAAATATGGTGCCCGCCAAAACCTTTAAAAACAAAAAGAAAAAAAAAGAAAAAAAGCGTCGATGTTGTGTTTGCGCTAACGGTGTCGCGCCGTGTGCCTCTCTTGACTGTTTGCGACTTCTTTCGACACGACGAACCTCAATTACTAACGTCCGTCTGTTCTCCTATCTTTCTTTTCCCCTATCTCGATTCGCAGAAAAGAGAGAGAGAAAAAATAATTTTGACACTTGCGTTTTGAGTGGGTGTTCCCACTTCGGACATTGAACACCAAAGCGCGCGCGTTGGATCCACGTTGGCTGCAACGCGCGTTGGATCCACGAATTGTTTTTACAATTCGTCGCTCCCACGTTTTAGCGCGTCCGGCTGCAAATAATAATAATAATTATAATAAAAAGAAAAGTAAGCTCCGGGAAAAAAAAAAAAGTTTGTACGTCTCGGCTGTTGCTGTTTCCTAATTAAAAAAAAAAAAAATACAGTGTCCTCGCTCGTCACGCCCTCTGGTAGCCGCCGTTGTTCGCGGTAACGACCCGGAACAAAACGACGTAGAGTGTAAGGGAAGACGGGGGTAGCCACGAAAAAGGAAAACCGGTAACCAAATGAAGGCCTAATCAACTTTGGCGACTTTTCTTTCTTTCCCGAAACGCTTGAAAAACGAGCCGTACGTGCGCGACACATTGCGCGAGCGTAGTGTTGGCGCTCGCTTGCGCTCCTCGGGGGAATACCGTGTTTGGGGGGGGAAGCAAAAATGAGGGTGCAACGAAGAAAAGTAGGGATTACGTGCTCTGTGGATGATACTCGTGTTTCATGTCCCGCATAGCTTAAAATAAAAGTGGCTCTGTCCTCTGTTTGGCTCCCTGTTTGTCGAGCTCGTTTTAGTTATACACGGTAACACGCCTTGGTTGGGAATGGAGTGAAAAAAGAAAAAAAAAAAGAAAACATCTATGTATATTTATGTGCGGAGTCCGCTTTGGCGTGGGCTGATGGCGCGGGAAGAAAAAGAAATGGGGATAAAGGGAAAGGAAGAGAGATGTCCTCCGGTCGCCATGGAAGCGATGTCCCTCGGGATCCCTGCATTAGGCGTCTACTTTGCAGACGCTCCCAGCTTCTGTCGTTCCCGTTAGCTGCTGCTGCTCCCGGAATTTATTCCCCATCCAGCTGCCAGAGCACTTTGTTAGGCGCTCTCTCTCTGTGTACTGGCGTGCTCCGTTTTTCTTTTTTTTTTTTCCCCTTTTCTTCCTTAGTGGAATTTTTATAACCCCCTCAGCATTTTGGGGTTCCTCGTTGACTAGCACGAGTCACCGAGGCCTCTGTTTTTCCACGAGGGAAGTCCACGTAGAAAGCTCTCCTTTTTTCTTTTTCTTCAATTTGGTGAAGAGAGGAAAATGCGGGTTGGTTTAAAGGAGCAATTGCATTGAATGGAAGTCTTGGTTTGGGTGATTGACCCGAGGGAGTCAACATTAAATGCTATTGTGGATGAGCGCCCACGACATTTTGTTGTAGTCCATCTTGTGGAAGGGTTGCCTTGCTGTATGCCGATCCCGGAGGAAGGATACGAAGCCAGGGTTTTCCAAAACAAGAAACTACACATATCAGTGAAACAGGAATGGTTTGTTCGTAGTAATGTACAACGATGCCATGGCGTTCACCTATACACGTCTTCTTCCGTGCTCCCGGTCCGTCTCCCTTGTTCTTTCTTTCTTAATTTCAAACGTATTTTATTTGGATCCACACGCCTGGCTTGGTGGTCTCACTTGGTGCGGAGGGTGGGAAAAAGGGAGAGTGAGGTGGGGGGTGACGATGCTTAAATGAGGGTGAGAAAAAGGGGAGAGTGGGGGGGGGGGGGGGGGGGGGGGGGACGACGACGACGACAATTAAATCAGCCTCTCAATCCCGGAGCAACGCGATGAGGGATGAATACAGTCGTGGCCGTGTCCCCCTTTTATAGTCTCTCGCGTCTATTCTTCGTGCGCTGTTGCG